GTCGGCATCACGAGCATGAAGAACAGCCAGACGGGCCAAAACTACCGCGACCGCGTCGAGTTTTGCAAGGACTCCAAGGTCGAGTACGACTTCACCAACAACTACAGCGACCTGACCTTCTGGGACAAGCCGCTCGACGTCGACGCCAACACGAACCGCACGGCGCAGATGCTCAAGTTTTACAACGACCTCATCAAGGATGGCATGGGCGACTACGGCCACATGAAGCCACTCCCGTCCGCCGAGGACCTCGCTAAGCTCAACCCGCCGTGCTGGAAGAACAGCCCGATGTGTGCCAAGGCCGCCAACGGCTGCCGCCGCAAGCTGACCGCGCAGGTCTGCGAGGTCTGCTCGTCGCCTGCCGCTGACTGCAAGAAGCCGGGCCCGACCGACGCCGCTGCGCCGACGCTCAACAAGCAGTTCCAGCCGGCGCTCCCGACCAACGCCGCCGGTGTCACCACCGTCCCCCGCAGTGTCTCCAACAACGAAACGCTGGCGCCGGGTGCCGGCGGTGCCAGTGAAAAGACACCGAGCGCGGCCTCGCCCGTGTCTCTCGTCGCCGCTTCGACCGTCGCCGTCGCAGCCTTTTTGCTGGTGTAACTCGAAACGTCGAGGATGCTTTTTTGCTATCGTCGAGCGTCCCGTTCAGTAGTATCAAGGGTCAATAATCAGATGGTGTCTCACGCCCGTCCAAGCCTGCGGGGGATGATCCAGCTAAAGCCTCCGTATCCGGATGGTAATTTTATGTTGTTTTTCATTAAAATAGGCTCCGAGGCTGGCGACTCCCGCATGGGTCCCTGTGCATGTAGCGCCCAAAGCACAGCATGTTGCGGCGCATGAAGATAACCCGCGCGTGCGCTAATTGTTTTATTATCAAATTGACCTTTTAAACGTGTGAAACGAATTCGTATAAGCTAAAAAAGCTCGCAAATAGTGCAAAGTCGGTCCGCCCTAGAATACACAAACATGAAAATGGAGGTGTTTGGAAACGCGGACCCGAACGAAACTTTGCAGGCATATTCTCTACATTGTTTCACGTGCTCTCACGAAGTTATGTGCTTGGGCGGCCTCTCAAACACCCCCATCTTCCGCGACATCGCAAGCTCTAGGTTGCGTGCATTTAGCCAAATATCTTACGATCGCAGGCGAGCTTCATTTTTGACGGACTAC